ATACAGAGGTAGATATGAGTCTATTTCAAAAGTGTAAAACAATGACACTTTTCTTCTGAAATTTTGATTTGAAAAATGATCTTTTCATAAAAATATGTTCTTAGATGTCAACATGTAATATGCTTATTATTGTTATTTTAATTGAATCAGTAAACAAAAATTTTAAGGAAAAATATTCTCAATAAATATCACAGCCCCTTATATTTAAGGGACACCACCCCACCAAACCCATTACTCTTCTCAAGTTATCTTGAAAGAACACAGGAGCCCATCTAAGGGAAATTCTAGTGAACTAAACTGAAATGAACTGAGTAACAAAATATAGAGAATTGGATTATAATCAATAGAATAAAATAAGTAAATAAGTAAGGGGAAAGAAACAGGTCCTTCTTCCAGTAGGATTCTAATTAACAAGTTAGAGAGAAATTGAAAGTCATTATCAAGCAAACACTACAATAATAATTGTTACAAACAAGATCCATTGATAATTACTAAAATTAATGAGCAGAAATTTGAGGACAAATAGAATTTGCTTAGTTTCAAAAGTATCCCTAAGATATTAAAGATATTTATAATCAAGAAACCTGGCAGAGGCCAGACATGATGGTGCACACCTGTAATCTCAACAGTTTGGTAGGCTGAGGCAGGAGGATCACAAGTCCAGGGACAGCCTGGACAACTTAACAATACCCTATCTTAAATGAAAAATAAAAAAGGGAAGGTCTGGGGATGTAGCTCAGTGGTAGAGTCCCTCCAGGTTCAACCCAAATCATAAAAGAAAGAAACCTGGCAGAACTTTAACTCCAACCAAGTGAACAAGGATAACCTCACCAGTAACAAAACATGACAACATTAAGAACTCTGTATAGTAAGATCCTCAAAAAAGGATCCAACCCTTTTTTTGTTGTGTTCCTGCCCAGAAAAGTTTCAGATTATCAGAAAACATCATATTTGAGAGACATTAAGAAAACTCAAATTGAGAGACATTCAGTAAAATAATTGATCAATACCCTTCAAAAATATCAAGGCTATAGAGCTGGGGTTGTGGCTCAGTGGTAGAGCCCTCACCCAGCATGTGTGAGGCCCTAGGTTCGATCCTCAACACCACATAAAAATAAATAAATAAAGGTATTGTGTCCAACTACAACTAAAAAATATTTATAAAAATATATCAAGAATGTAAAAAGAGTGAGGATCTCTTACAGATAAAGAGGAGTCTAAGGAGAAATGACTAAATACCATTAGGGTCCTGGATAGAATCCTGAAAAGAAAAGGTCATCATGAAAAAACTAAAATTTGGATAACATCTTTAGATAATATTTTTGCACCACTCTTTATCTAGTGGTTTTGATAATTATACTATAGTTATATAAGACACTAATAATAAAGGAAGCTGGGTGAGGAAACTCTGTGTACTACTTTTGCAACATTTCTGAAAGTCTAAAATTAGTAGAAAGTACAAAGTTAAAAAATAAATAAAAGTCCTATTGCCAAAAGTATTCCAAACTGGAAAATTACTGAGTCTGAAGCAGAACTAAGCCTAGGAGTTATTCTTAGCTTCTAGTTCCAGAGTGAATGAAGATCAGAATCAGAACTCAGGGACAAGAGAAAGTATTCACCGTGAGTCTCCAGGTCCCTAGAAATTTTAAAAAGCAGATTAACTTAATTGTTGAAAATTGTGCTAATTAGGAAATCAGTGTGACAGTGGTGAGGGAGAAGAACTACCAATAGAGTGATGAAAAGGAGACATGGCATAAGAGCATGAAAGCAGGCCTGAGGGAAGGACAGTTACACCTCTAGAAGTTAAATTACAAATGCTAGTTGTGTAAACAAGGAGGGGTACCACTAAGCCACATCCTCAGCCAGATTTTTGTACTTTTTTAGAGACAAAACAAAACAAAAGAGCTGGGATGTAGCTCAGTGGTACAGCCACAGTGTCTCACTGAATTGCTTAGCACCCCTCACTTTTGCTGAGGCTGGCTTTGAACTCTCCATCCTCCTGCCTCAGCCTCCCAAGCTGCTGGGATTACAGGTATGTGCCATGGCACCCAGCTAAAACTATTCTTTTTTAATGAAAGATTAGTTTAATCCTGTCACAGTTATTCATTTGAAGTGGAAGATAGTCTATGGAGTTTGAAGGCTGACAATTTTTAACACAGCCCAGCAGATTTGCTACCACTCAATCCCTTTGATGATATGATAAATTTTACATTTTCTCGGAGTCGACATTTAAAGAAAAGATTTCGTATACAAGGCTGTGACCTCCAATCTTTTGTCTAAAACCCTACCAGCATTCCTCTTTGTTTCTTCTTCCAAAGGAAAAACATAAAATTTATTTAATATCTTCTTCCAAAGAATTAATGCAACTCTAGTCAAGTCAGATATATTTGGTATAAAGTTGTATTAATAAAAATTTAGTGATTCAAAATAAGGAAACTTAAGATGGAAAAATATTAATATATAAGAAAGATAATAGCTAAAAATAAATTTTAGACAAGTCATTTTGAAAATAAGAATTTACCAAGGAGAAAGATTTTTACCTGCTGATTTATTGGAGATAAACTACTTCTAAACCATTTCCAAGAAACTGTAATAATAAAGACTGTATGTGGGTAGACATGATAACTGCCTTAAAGCTATAGAGGATACTTAATAAATCTGATTAAGCACTGGTACAGTAAGAGGCTTTTAAAAATCTGCATTTCTAGACTTGTTAGATTTTTTCATTTTGTTTTATTTTTTTGTGTGTAGTACTGGGGATTGAAACCACAATCTCATCAATGATAGGCAAGTGTTGTACCACTGAGCTACATCCTAGCTGTTTTGTTTTGTTTTGTTTTGTTGTTGGAGACAAGGTCTCACAGCCTCATCAATGCTAGGCAAATGCTCCACCACTGAGTTACACCCCAGCCCTTTTTGTTATTATTGTTTTGTTTGAGACAAGATCTCACCAATTTGCCTAGGCTGGCCTTGAACTTGGAATCTCCTGCCTCAGCCTCCAGAGTAGCAGGGATTACAGGCATAAATCTAGCCAGACTTGGTTTTATACATAGGAGAAGTTGTGGATAATATCATTAGACAATTTTGGGAAGTATGAATGCTTTTGATAGATTGTATGTACATGCACATATTACATAGCTACTTTGAAATGTCTGGTAAATAACCTTTTTTCAGTCACATTGCAAATCTTAGGAAGGTGTCAAATGGTTTTTCTACCTGAATTTTACAAAGGAATCAAGACTTTACATTTGGAATGCCAAAGAAATATTTAAAATTAAAATAGAAGTAGGCACCAAAGATACAACTTTAACATTGATCTCTGTTAAAATGAAACTATTCAGCCAAGTATACAAATAATTTTTATCTTTAAAGTGATAACCCCGTTACTTTGAGTAAAGGGTAAATTATAGCTTATTTGCTAAGCTGCGCTTAGCCCTGGCATATGGAATCAGTTGAAGCCATATATGATGACAATTCATATTGATTTTGCTGTTTGTTTTTTCATCAAGTAGAAATTTGTATCTTTGTAGACAATAACCCCTGATATTCACTGTTTATTGAGAGGACAGATCAATTGCTGACAGGGTTTTCCTTTGGGTTTCTTTACATTGTCTTTAAAATATGTTGATAAAGTAGTGACTGATCTGTCTGAAGAAAAGAGTAGAAAATTTTTTAAATACAGTCTCTGATTTCCAGTTTCCATATTGTGCTTAGACTTCATTGCTTCACTCACAAGCAGTTCCTATCTTTGACTTTGTATATGCAGCAACATTGCCTGAATTGTTCAATTGTTCATTTTTTTTTATGTTTAATGAGAAGGATTTCAGGTGCTTAAAATTTTTTTTACTTTTCCAGCATGCATTGAGGAGCTAAGAAGACCATACTCATAATCAGGAGCCTTTTCAAAGCACAACTCTATAGTAGATGACTGTTGTCCAAGAGATGATTAAAAAACTGGAGTTCCAGTGGTATATCCATGAATGCCACTGAGACAGGTTTTAATTGCCTGTAAAAACAAATCTAGGAACTAAAAAAAAAAAACAGCATTATGGAACTATCAGATGGAAGTGATGAGCAAGGAGGAGAATAGAGATATCTAGGCTGACAGCGGCTGACATTACTACTTACTATGAGAGCGCCATGCCAAATTCTTTCCATACATCAAACTGAATTTCCCCTGCCAATGGCATATTTTCTACACAGTCCCATCATTTATTTTTTGGTAGTTAATGATCCATAAAAGTGTTCTAGATTAAAATCACCCTCAGTATTTGCTCTTGAGGTAAAAGAAACAACCAACAGATATAGAGTGAACTTTTTGCACATTTAAAACAAAAAACCAGAGCCTAAAGCTCCAGGTTCCAGCCAGTCAGCCCAGCCTCTAGATGTTATTAAGACTCATAAATTTTTTTTAAGTTCTTTGAATTTAAGACCTCATCTAACAAAAATTTCACCCCTTCTCTGCTCCCTTTTATCAAATTATGTGATTGGGTTCTCAGAAAATATTTAATGATAATTTTAAAATCTAAATTACTTTATTTTGTGAGACTCAGTTCATAACACAATTGGAATCACAAAAAATGACATAAGCATATGTATTTGTTGAGACTAACATGATTTTTCTCTATCTTGTTCCTAATGTTTTGTTACAAGATTAGATTTACAGTACCACTATGCAGAGTAAATAAATGTTAGTGATATTAATGTACATCTTGAATCTCATTCTTGCTTCCTATTTTCCTATTTCTTATGATCCAGAAGGAAAATTTAATTTTTACTTATAAATTTTAATTTGGGGTTGTGATATCCTATGTGTACAAGCGAACTATCATATGAGATTTTTGATCTTACATAAATCAGGCAGTTGACTTAGCAGCTTTCATTTATACTTGAAAAGGTAAAGAAAATGGAGAGAGAAAAGACAGAATGATCATGTAATAACTGTAGCTATTGCTTTTGCCACTGATAAGCCTGTTTGCATTCTCATCTTCCATTTGTAGGTGGTTGCCTATCACTATTGCCAAGCAGATAATGCCTATACCTGCCTGGTACCAGAATTTGTCCACAATGTTGCTGCCCTGCTCTGCCGCTCACCTCAGCTGACAGCTTATCGGGAGCAGCTTCTTCGGGAGCCTCACCTGCAGAGCATGCTAAGCCTTCGATCCTGTGTTCAAGACCCCATGGCCTCCTTTCGGAGAGGAGTCCTGGAGCCCCTGGAGAATCTCCACAAAGGTATAGATGAGGTCCAAGGAGATGAAAGGAGCCTCAGGTCACCTGTTCACACTATAAAAATGATTATTTTTATCACATTAACAAAACTAAATGTTCCATAGCTAATGTCCTACAAGATAGGACATTAAGAAATAGAAGATTTTACTTGAAAAAAAAAAACAGTTCCTACAAGAAGTGCTACTTCCTTTAAAAAATTTTTATTTTGATTCCCAAATTTAATTTATTTTCCTTATACTAATGATAGTAGAGCTTCCAATCCTGTTTGTGAAGTTAAAATAAAATAGTAAAATTTGTGGCTCCAACTCAAGTGTTGTAGAGTTTCTATGGTTAGAAACTCTCCAGTCTTCATGTAATATTTTTATTACCCCATCAGTTCAGGTAAAGCATTCATGATTGTACAACCTTGTGTTTATACTAGAAATCACTGAATTATATAGTATGAAAGATATTTAAAAGGCATAAGTATATTCCATGGTCCATAAATTACATCAGGAAAGGTATTTTTTAAATAAAAACAAAATTAAATGGACTCTATCTCCCATTCATGGGAGGTCTTTCCTACCTTTTTCCTCTGCAGCTCTAGTGCCCTCCAGAGCCTGACAGCCATCTCCTTAAAGAGAGTACATGACTTCCCATGTGTCTCTTCCTTATATTTTTTACACTGTGTTCTCAGTGCTACAAGCCAAAGAAAAGGATTTGAGTAAGCATGAGATCCTGAACAGTCCTGTTTATTCTCAAAAGACTTTTATACCTTTCTCAAAAGTTTTGAATACTCTTAAGAAAAAGTGTTCATAATTTCTATTCTCCTGGCCATCATCTTTAGTTTAACTCTGATGCTGATTACTTAGTCCTCAAATTTCTCTTTCTTCTTAAATCCAATAACCTTTATTTCTATTACCTCTCTTCTGCCTATTAGCTTAATCACACCTTGGAATTTTTCCACAAATATTTAAAGCATATTTCCTATACATTCACTCAATTTCTAATCCTGTTAATTCTGCCTTCATTGTTTCTCACATTCATTTTTCTCAATTTGTTCCTACCATTATTACCCCCAAGAGCTATTTAGCTACCAATAACATTGTATCATTATTACCCCTTCCTGGTATTCTCTGGCTTAGTACTTCTTTCACATCATAATACACTTATAAAATTATAAAAATTTGTATAGCAGACTGAGATAAAAATTCATGACTACTTATAGCTGAATATAGCAGCCTACAATCTATAACTATGCCAAGCTATGCATAACCTAAGGACTAAAACAATTCCTTTTTTTTTTTTTTAGACTGGGTCTTAATGTTTTGCCCAAGCTTGTCTCAATCTCTTGGTCTCAAGTGATCCCCCTGTCTCAGGCTTACAAGTAGCTGGGACTATTACCAGCACATGCCTCCATACCAACTAAGGGATTCAGTTCTAAGTATACTTCCCATTCATTCATGGCCTACCTGATGGAGGAGTTCTTCCTCAGTTTCTCTAGTTTTCTAGAATTTATGTACTGCTTTAAGATAAAGCTTCATAAAATATTGCTCTGATCATTTAATTTCCCCAGCTCAAAACCCAATCCTAGTGACCTGGGAGGCTGAGGCAAGAGAATCGCAAATTCAAAACCAGCCTCAGCAACTTAGTAGAAGCCCTAAGCAACTTAGCAAGACCCCGTCTCAAAATTTTAAAAAAGAACTGGGGATGTATCTCAGTGGTAAAACATCCCCTGGGTTCAATCCCCAGTACCAAAAAAAACAAAAACAAAAAAACAAAAAACAATGATTCCCTGTTGCCTACTGAATATAACTTCTAGCTCCAGAGTGCTTGATGATCTGGATCCAGCCTACTTTCCAGCCTTATTTTTTGGTTTTAGCCTTATGAACCTTATGCTTACATGTAAACTAAAATATGTACTATTCCTTAAATACTTTCCTACGTTTTCTTTCTCCACATATACATTTAGTGTTTCCTTTGCTTAATATGCCTTCTCATCACATCTCTTGACTTTAAGAATTCTGTCCACCTTTTTATTTAATTATTATTTTTTACATTTTTTTTATTAATTTTTTTATTTTATATGATAGTGGAATTCATAATAATTCTTATTACACATATAGAGCACAAATTTTTCATATCTCTGGTTGTATACAAAGTATATTCACACTAATTTATGTCTTCATACATGTACTTTGGATAATGATGTCCATCACATTCCACCATCATTTATAACCCCCTGCCCCCTCCCTTCCCCTCCCACCCCTCTGCCCTATGTAGAGTTTGTCTATTCCTCCCACGCTCCCTCTCCCTACCCCACTATGAGTCAGCCTCCTTATATCAGAGAAAACATCTGGCATTTGGTTTTTTGGAATTGGCTAACTTCACTTATCATTATCTTCTCTAACTCCATCCATTTACCTTCAAATGCCATGATTTTATTCTCTTTTATTGCTAAGTAATATTCTATTATGTATATATGCCACATTTTTTATCCATTCTTCTACTGAAGGGCATCTAGGTTGGTTCCACAGTTTAGCTATTGTGAATTGTGCTGCTATCACTATTGATGTGGCTGTGTCCCTGTAGTATGCTGTTTTTAAGTCCTTTGAGTATAGACAAAGGAGAGGGATAACTGGGTCAAATGGTGGTTCCTTTCCCAGTTTTCCAAGGAATCTCCATACTGCTTTGCTTTCCATATTGGCTGCACCAATTTGTAGTCCCACCAGCAAGCAGTGTATGAGTATGCCTTTCTCCCCACATCTTCACCAGCACTTATTATTGTTTTTCTTCATAATAGCTGTCATTCTGACTAGAGTGAGATGAAATCTTAGAGTAGTCTTGATTTGCATTTCTCTAAATGCTAGCAATGATGAACATTTTTTTTCATATATTTGTTGATTGATTGCTTTATCATCTTCTGAGAAGTGTCTGTTCAAGTCTTAGGCTCTTTTTTTTTTTTACTTTTTTTTATTTGTTTTAAATAGTTACACATGATAATACAATGACCTTGACATATCGTACATTTGAATCAGATGGGATATCATATCTCATTTTTCTGAGTATACAGGTTGCAGAATCACATTGGTCATGCATTCACATATATACACATAGTAATGTTTATTTATTTTTTAGTTGTAGTTGTACACAATACCTTTATTTATATGTGGTGCTGAGGATCGAACCCAGGGCCTCCCACATGCTAGGCAAGCGCTCTACCACTGAGCCACAACTCCAGCCCCCTTGGCCCATTATTGATTGGGTTATTTGTTTTTGATCTTTATCATTTTGAGGTCTCTGTATACCCTAGAGATTAGTCTCTGATGTATGAGGGGTAAAAATTTGCTCCCAAGATGTAGGCTCTCTATTCACATGCTACCCCCAACCATCATAGATCAGCATCCACTAATCAGAGAAAACACTCAGGCTTTAGTTTTGGGGGTTGGCTTACTTCGCTTAGCATAATATTCTCCAGATCCATCCATTTACCTGCAAATGCCATAATTTTATTCTTTTGTAATGCTGAGTAATATTTCATTGTGTATATATACCAGCTTCTTTATCCATTCATCTACTGATAGGCATCTAGGTTGGTTCCACAGTTTAGCTATTGTGAATTCAGCTGCTTTAAACATTGGTGTGGCTATGTCACTGTAATATGCTGATTTTAAGTCCTTTGGGTATAGACCAAGAATGGGATAGCTGAGTCAAAAGGTAGTTTCATTCCAAGTTTTCTGAGGAATCTCCACACTGCTTTCCAAAGTGATTGCACCAATTTGCAGTCCCATAAGCAATGTATGAGTGTACCTTTTCCCCACATCCTCTCTAACACTCATTTTTGCTTGTATTCTTGATAACTGCCAAAGAATTCTACCCACCTTTCAAAGACCAGCTTAAATGCCACCTTTCCCTTGAGACACCTGTTGATTCATCTTCCTGCCTCCAGTCAGAAATAGTGTCCTTCCAAAAGCCATAGATCTTTTTTAAAAATCACAATTATGATATTCTAACACATTACTATAAGTATAATTAGAATTTAAAATTTTATCACAAACATTACTATAAGCCAGATATTATACTTTGCTTGCACTGCATAAAACTTAATTATTTCTATACTTATCCCTTTGGCTGAATTGTATGCTTTTGAAGTTAAGATTTTTGTGTGTATATGATGTTTGGGATCAAACCCAGGGCCTTACACATGCTGGTGCATGCTCTACCACTGAGCTGCATTCCCAGGTCACAGAACCTTATTTTTATTTCATTTTTATTCATCATAGGCATTCTCTGACTTAAACATAAGAAGAAATTTTAAGAAATAAATTTTGAGGGGCTGGGGCTTTAGCTCAGTGGTAGAGTGCTTGCCTAGCATTTGTGAGGCACTGGGTTCGATCCTTAGCACCACATATAAGTAAATAAAATAAAGGTATAAAAATACAACCAAAAAAATTTTTAAAAAAATAAATTTGAACACATAAGTGACCATGGAAACTGCTAATCTTCAAGGATATATTAAGGAAGTATTGTGATATAAGGATCTACACCTACTGGGTATTTCAAAGAGAATATGCAAGCACTTTTACAGAGTCAGCTCCAGATTCTCAACCATATTCCATGTTTTATAAATTTGCTACAAAATATATCTATTGCTTACTTAGGTCTCTATAATCAACTTTAGATATCCTTAGTTTTTGAAACATTAAAAATTGTTTGAGGGGCTGGGATTGTGGCTCAGCGGTAGAGCGCTCACCAAGCACCGGTGGGACCCAGGTTTGATCCTCAGCACCACATAAAAAATAAAGGCATAGTGTTGTGTCCATCTACACCAAAAAATAAATATTTTTAAAAAAATTATTTGATTGAATCAAAAGAATTCATGAAGAAAAGTGAAAACAAATTAAGTCAAAACAAACAAAATGGTAGACTTAAAATCAATCATAATCGGGGCTGGGGATGTGGCTCAAGCGGTAGCGCGCTCGCCTGGCATGCGTGCGGCCTGGGTTCAATCCTCAGCACCACAT